TTCACATACTAAAATACTTCCAAATATCCAAATAATTTAAAACTGAATTCAAAATATCTAAGGTAAGAGTTCACAATTGTATTTAACAAAATGTCATAAAATCCAATTACAATAAAATTATTATTCTAAAATCTCTCGCCCGGATGTCACACTAGCAAAGCAATCCCAGAACTCAATTGTAGGCACCTTAAGTGCCACTCACATCTTGACCTTCCTCACCTAAAAATAACCATAAAACATATAATGAGAAAAAAGACATTCATATGAACATCACAATAGAAAATTTCTACCAAAACAATCTCAATCTAAAATAGAATAATATATATAATAGCAATAGCCATCATCCAAACATGTTTAATATTATTAACTCTAAATTCATTCAATTCCACTACCACATCACATCGAACATCGTATCATGCACATGCCCATGTTGATGCAACACACCATGTCACGCACATGACTGTGTCAATGCATCACACAACTAGTATTATATCACGCACATGCTTGTGCCAACACATCACACATCTAGCAGCGTGTCATGCACATGACTGTAGGGATGGCAACTATACCCGTACCCGCGGGTAATACCCGAACCCGTCCCAATTTTGACGGGGAATACCCGGTTTGACCAGGTACGGGTACGGGTATGGGTAAAACCCGATATATTAAATCGGGTACGGGTACGGGTACGGGTATGTACTTACCCGCCCCATACCCGTACCCGTACCCGTCCTCGTTCCCATTTTTAATTTAATACCCACTTTCAATTTAATTATATTAAAAAATATTAATATTTTTTTATGTGTGATTATTTATTATAGTATGAGATAGATAAATAATTTAATTATAATTATAATATAATAAAAAAATAATTTAAAAATATCATTTTAAAAAAAAAAATAAAAAATAAAAAAATTAACGGGTACGGGTACGGGTACGGGTATACCCGATACCCGACGGGGACGGGGATGGGGATGAAAATCCCATACCCGACGGGTACGGGGACGGGTTTGGGTTTGACTTGCGGGGACGGGGACGGGTATCATAAAACCCGTACCCGCCCCGCCCCGTTGCCATCCCTACATGACTGTGCCAAGGCATAACACAACTAGCATCGTATTATGCACATGCCCGTGCCAATGCATCACATATTCAGCACCGTGTCACGCACATGACTGTGCTGAGGTATCATACACAACATTCTCAATGCCACACACATCAATTATTTAATTCACATTTAATTTACATCACATCCAACACTCACCAAATACACACACACACACACACATATATATAAACTTGTCAATACTTCATCAATTCACAACATCAATACAAACTCACTCCCGACGAAATTAGAATTTTGCCTAGTGTAAGCTCAACCTGAAAGCTTCTACTCTCGCCTGCCCTCGACGCCAAGAAATCTTGCCTGATGCTAAGGCTTGGCAGAGACCACCTTAAAGAATTACGCCCAGTGAAATTATAATTTCACCTAGCAAGAGGTTATTCCAAAAACTCATGCCTGGTGAAATTACAATTTCACCTAGCGTAAATATTATGAATTTCACATTCATCCATGAATGTGCGCCCGAGGCTAGGAACTAAGCTTGACGTCGACACGATTTCCAGAACAACGGACAATTAAAAATACCCAATTCAATCCAAACCAATCACAATACATCATTTTAGCAATCCAATCGGTCAAAATGCCTAATTTTGCAAGAAAACACAACATACATCATCAATTTTTCAAGAGCATGTGTCAATTGTTAAATTCTCAATCCCTCAAGAACCCTAACTCACATGCACATTTCAACAATTCAATCTCTTTCCCAGAACATCAATTTTAACAATTTTTTACCAAAAATACAATCACAAATACATACAAAAACTATTATAACCATCAACCCTTCAAACAAAACAAATATAAGATTACTAAAAATCCTAGGGAACTTTCCCTCTACTTTTTCCCTCATGTAACTTCACATACAAAGATCCCCTTTTTCCCCGTACCTAGTTGCGTTAATCAAAATACTCTTGATGTAATGGAGATCATCCTTGATCGCTTCGTGAGCACTCATTCCCAGAGCTCTTGTTCTCCTCTCTTCTTCTCTTACTGTTTCGTAAATGCCAAAATGAGACAAGATTGAGGATTAGTTCTTTTGACCCCTCTTAACATTTCCTCAAGTTAGGTCACCCAAACCTACTTCATTTTCTGACCCGCTTCTTTTTTCTCCCAAAAATAATTAAATAATAATACATACAAATAATAATATAAAATAATTTTCCTTTTAAAATAATAATAATAACAACAAAATATTTCTAACCCCAAAATATATTATTATTATTATTATTATTATTATTATTATTTTGAAAAACCAGATGTTACAGTATAACCTTATGTATTGTGTTTGGATGCCATAATGTTGTTAAATCTTAAGATTAGGAGAGACAATTTGAGGGTTGTAATGGTGAGTTACTTTACCCTTTAATTGTTTAATCCTAGAGATGGTTTGAGAAACTTAAATAAATAATTAAGAAAAAGAAAGAACGAGAGGCTTATATACAATATGAGATGTTTTATGTGATGTGCATGATATGAGATGTTTATGCATAACATAGGAAATTATGGAATATGAGATGGTTATGCATACTATGATGAGATATTGATGTTTGGCTTGAGAATAGGTTGTGTGCAAAGGTTGAAACATTGGTGAATGATGAGATGTGATGATAAAGTGCGACATGATAATGAAACAATGATAATGTGTATGCATAAGAGTTTCATTATGATGATATGTAAGCGAATGAGATGAGTATGATTTGAATCCATGATATATGTGTAATAATTACATATAATATGTGTGTTATGAGTAAGAGATTTGTGTCATGAGTATTAGATATGTTTAACAATAGCATATGATATATATGCTATGAATGAGATATGTGCCACAAGTATGAGATATGTGTCACAAACATGAGATTAAGCCTACAGGCCATGCTGATAAGCCTTTGGGCCACAAGGATATGTCATGAAACTATGAGTAGAGTTATTGAGATTTTGAGCTATTTTTTATTTATGTAAATACATCATTGTTCACTATGAATTATAAATTATTACTTTGTTTTATTAAGTATAGTCTGATTATATTAGAGTGAGACATTTCTCACTTCCTCTATTTTTGTTGTTTCATGTTGAGTGTGTTATAGGTAATGATTATCATGTTGATGATATGGGTGACAAGACTTGAGCCTTGTAAATTGATATGTATGCTCTAATAAAACGTGACACTAAGGGAAGTAGCATAATAGTTCTTATTATTTTGAGTTATGATTAATCTCAGGCATTTGACTTGTTTATGCTATGAAAACCTTTACGCATTTCTTCCAATTTAACATATGTTGTGAATTTTATGAATGTTATTAAATGTGAAGGTCATTGCAATTATTTATGTTTGAGTACCTTGATATTGCCTTGGGGGTAGTAGGTGTTGTATAAAAATGGCGGACGCACTTATGAGTAACCTGAAACACTGAACAAACACGTTAGTAAAATCTCCCCTGAGGCGTGTGATGACATTGACCTTAAGGACTTATCCGCAGGATATGTGTAAGCCCTCCAAGATACAACAAGGTCGTTTCAAGGATTTGAGGAGCATAACTAGCAATTGAAAATATTGAGAACTTAGAGAAGGAAGAGAGAAATGTTTACTTCATATGATAAAATAGTGTGCTAGAGGCCTCTATAAAACAAAATCAAATTTGAATTTGAGATGTGAAAAACTGTCATTTTCGGATAAGGTTTCCTTAATTAATTAAAAATAATTTAATGTAATCAAAATAAAATTATTTTCGGATCTCATTTTCGCATGCACAAGGGGGGGCAAATCAACATATTTGAACTATAATGGGCTCACAAGGCTCATTCTTACGTGCACGAACCCACCACTCATTACTTGCCTCTTTGGGAGTGTAAGGAGCACTTTGATATATAAAGGCTTTACACTTGAGTGATTTAAGTAATGTGAGACTATTTTCTTTTGAAATATCATATATGTGCAACAATAAGTGTTACATAGTATCTATGATTGTGATTGGACTTAGGAAAGAACTCAATGAATATTAAGAGTTAAAGATCTTATGTTATTTGTTATGTAATTGGGGACATGCATTCATTACTTTGCGTGGTTGGGTTAGGTTAGAAAGAGTCAAATGGTGACTTGTGATCAATAATGATATGATTTAATCTAGGAGAGAATAGTATTTGTATAATAGAAAGTTTAGATTTATTATATATATATATATATATATATATATATAATACAAACCACTCATTTTTTTGTGTGAATTTTTTTACTATTATTAAAAAGAATTAAATTATTTATTTCAAAAAATATAGATTCATTTGTAAAAAAAAACTACTAAAAATGACTTAATGGTAAATAATTAAAGTAATATATATAAAATTTTATGTCTTCATAAATCCTACACATTAAGAAAAAAAGAGAAATTCACCTGAAAAAAAATAAATATCTATATTCATTTTTCTGATTCGGATAAAATTGTTCTAACTATTTTTTTTATATTTTTTTTTATATGAGTGTCCTAACTAATGATTGGGTCTTTATATTTTAGTAAACTTTTCATTTTAGTATTTACATTTTAATTTCTTACTTTTCAAGTCTTATTACAATACTTATTGTACGTATTAAATTTCTGTTGGTAATTTTCTGTTAATGTAAAACCACCAAAAATAAAACATAAAATAGTTGTTCGGATAAAAACTAAAATATAGAAATTTTAACCATAAAAATTAAAATAAAAGTTGACACAATTACAAAAATCAAATTCACCAATTTTTTTTTTATAAAAAATAAATAAATTAGTTTAAAAAAATATACCCGTTAAAATTGGGTCAAATTGTGACTCATGTTTGATTGCAAGAGAATATACCTTTATTCACTTGCACCTGAACTAGGGTTTGTTCATAGTATAAATACCAATTATTCAGCAACAGCTTCTCCCTCTGTGACTTTTGCAAGACCCTTGTAGCCTCCCACTCGTCTCACTTCCCGAAATGGCCGTTACCTTCTCAAATCTCCACACTGACTCAGGTCTCAAGTCTCTCGACGACTTCCTATCTGGGAAGACCTATGTTTCTGGGTAACCAACTAATACCCACTCAATTTTCCCTTTTTTTTTTTTTTTTTCACCCCTTCATTTCTAGATTAAAAAAGTTTAAATCTTTAGCATTTATCTTTTTGTTTCAGTCTGATTCACCTTCTGGGTCTCACTGTGTTTTCAGGGATCAGTTCACAAAGGATGACATCAAAGTGTATGCTGCTGTTTTGGAGAAGCCGGGTGATGCTTTCCCCAGTGTTGCCAAGTGGTACGAGGTTGTCTCGTCTCACCTTGCTGCAAGGTTTGTTATTTTGCTCATATCTGCAATTGGGTGTCTTTTGTTTTCATCTTTTTCTGATTTAAGATTGGGGTTTATATGGATTTGTAAATGTGCATTTTTTTTTTCTTTAGAAATGTTATACTCTTTATAACACTCCTTGCTAATATTTTTTCTACTATCGATAGAAAATTACAAATTTTGGTGATCTTATCACTAGATCGCGAGGATATGTGTGAACTACAAAATTTCTGATTTCTAATATATTTCAAGGCAATAATGAAGAGCATTTTCAAAAGAGTGTTAGAGAGAGTGCTCTACAATTCCTTTTTTTTTTTTTTTTTTTTTTTTTTTTTTTTAATTTTATTTATTAATTTTTTTTTTTTTTTTTTTAATTTTATTTATTAATTTTTTTTTTTTTTTTTTTAATTTTATTTATTAATTTTTTTTTTTTTTTTTTTAATTTTATTTATTAATTTTTTTTTTTTTTTTTTCTTTTTTTTTTAATTTTAATTATTAACTATTCTTGTTTTATTTTTTGTGTGAAGCTTCCCTGGCAATGCACAAGGGGTGAGATTCAGTGGCAAAGCTCCTGCTCCAGCTGAGGCTGCTCCTGCAAAACCGGTGTGTACATGCTTTGTTTTATTTGTTTCAACTTACTTAATGTTTGTGATGCATGCCGATGATTTTCATTTCAAATTGTATCCATAATTGTAGTTATTGATGCCGTTTTGATAATTGGTAAAATAGAAAACAAGAAAATGGTATTTGATTATGTATTCATGTTCATATGGTGTAATTCGACTTTGGGGGCAGTTTATGCTCTATAATTCTCCCTTGGCCGAACATAGTTGCACAAGTTATTACAAAGGGTAAATTACAAATTACGTCATGGTGTTTTGATGTTATTTCCCATAACACCTCATGCATAAAGTTTGTTATAAAACCTAGTTCCCTTCAAGTTTTGGGTTAGAATAGAAATATGCTAAATTCAGTAGTCCCCAGCCATTTTTTTTTTGGCTTTTTCCATGACTTAAGTTTCTAATTTACCTATAACTTGTTCATTCTAACCCGGACTTTTGGGAGTCATGTGTTACAAGACAAGCCTCATGTATGAAAATATATAATGGATGAAATATCAAGTTGGTTTATTTGTAATTTACTTTACCCTATCACATGATATGCTTTGCATGTTAATTATTGAGTGATGGGAAATGTAGAGTGGAAATATAATTTGTATGATTAAAAAAGAAGGTGAAAGCAAACTGAAGAGGGATGTGATATTTAAATTTTTTTAAAATATAGTATATTTTTCTCTTTTTTTTCTCTTTCTTTTTCTTTTAAAGTAAGTGCTTCATTTCTCTTCATCGAACACCCGTTGATTTGGAATTCTGGGGTTGGAGTGTCAGGCAAGGGTTTGAATGAAGTGATGTGTCCTCTAAAGCATTCTACTCATTGCTCAAAAGTTTCCTAAACTAGTAAACATTGTTAGCATCATAAGCTATTCCACATCATTTCTCCAAACATTTTCTAAGATATGTTATGACTACAAATGGTTGATTATTGTTGTTTTAGTTTAGTACCCTTACCAATGTATATTAGCCAATTAGGTCAAGTGAAGACTTCAACCAGTCTGATTATTTGGATTTTATTTGAATTTTCCAGGCTGCTGAAGATGATGATGACCTTGATCTCTTTGGCGATGAGACAGAGGAAGACAAGAAGGCGGCAGAGGAAAGGGAGGCTGCTAAGAAGCCTGCCAAGAAGAAAGAGAGTGAGATGCCTTTAAACTCTCGACTTAATTTTTGCTTTTTGTGAAAACACTTCATATAAATAATATATTGAGAAAAATGTAGTTGAGTTTATATAAGGTTTAATAGATCATTTGGTTCTTGAACTTTTTTTGGAATTTTCAATTTAGGTTCTTTGACTAAAAAAATTTGTATTTAGGTCTTTCACCTTTTTATAATTTTGAGATTTAGTCCCCGAGGTTGAAAATTTGTTCAACAATTTGTGAAATTTTTGAAAATATTCTTTATATTCTCATACTAGGACAACCACATTAGATAATTATTCCATGTCATCATTTATATGTTTTAATCCCCATGTGGTAAAATTCCTTATTATTATATAATTATTATGATATGATTAGGGAGATTACGAGAGAATTTCACATACGGTTGATAACTTGGAATGATAATTTGATATGATTGTCTAGGTATGAGGATATAAAAAATATTTTGTAAAATTTCACGGATCATTAACGAATGTGTAACTCACCCCAGGGACTAAATTACAAAAATATAAAAACATAAAAGACCTAATTATAATATTTTTTAGTTTAGAGACTTGAATTAAAAATTACCGAAAAGTTTATGGATCAAATGATGTATCAAACCTTTATATAACCCACTTCATTGCCTGTTGTATGGGAGCTAGGAGTATTTAGTTATATGGTGAAATTGCATTATTGTATTTGCTCCTGCTTTTGTTGTTTCCCAACCAAAAGCGCTTAAAACAATCAACAATTGGCTGTTTTAGGTGGCAAGTCTTCTGTTCTGCTCGATGTCAAGCCTTGGGATGATGAGACAGACATGAAGAAGCTGGAGGAGGCTGTTCGTAGTGTTGAGATGCCTGGTCTATTGTGGGGAGCATGTATGTTAAACTTAGTTTTTTTCCCCTCTAAAATATCTTGTGTTTGTTTACTACAGACACTCTGTTTGGATAAACTTATCTCCAGGAGAAAAAATAAGAAGGAAAAATGAAATAATTTTTTTCATAAGCTAAAACTAGCTTATTAAAAGCATAAGTTAATTTGTAATTGTTTAGGGAAGCTATATGAAAAAGCTTCTACAAATTAGTTTATGCACAAACTAATTTTAGTTCTCGGAATTTTTTTTTTCATTTTTTCTTCCTATTATTTCAGAAGTGCTTCTGGAGAAGTTTATCTAAACACGTTCATATTATGATGTGAACTAAATGTTTTATTGGTGGATACAGCCAAACTGGTTCCTGTGGGTTATGGAATCAAGAAGTTGCAGATCATGTTGACCATTGTTGATGATCTAGTATCTGTGGACTCACTTATTGAGGAGCATCTGACAGTTGAGCCTGTCAACGAGTATGTCCAAAGCTGTGACATTGTGGCATTCAACAAAATTTAAGTTGTTGAACTTCAGCGTAGCCATTTTGAAGCGGCCCAATAGCTTGTGTTTCTTTGATAAGTCTCAACCACTTCCTTCTAAATCATTCATGCCTAGTTTGTGTTTCAGTGGTGGTTTTTTGTTACTAGAATTCTGAGAAGTAAAAGAAATATATATTCTGAATATGTTGTGGTGTTGTTGCATCTAATGTTATATTCTCTCTTGAAAAAATGTTGGTGTGTGTGGTATTAACACTAATCAGTGAGGGTGTCTGTTTAATTGTAGACACAACAGTTACACACAACCTCCTTTTATTTGTTTACATAGCACCTGATTGGAGGTGATATTCACACTGACACACTCTTTGATTAGTTAAGTTTATTAGAAAACACAAAAGTTGGTGGATTTTACAACTTATTTATGATTCTCCTAATTTTGTATTTTTTAATAAATTCTAACCAATAAGTGTATTGAGAGGAGTGTGATAAGAGTATGTTGTTAGCATTCTTCACTCTTATAAATTCTTAGTATTTTAAGCGGCCTAGGAAATAAATAATTTTTGCCTCCCATTGGTCCTTTACTGTTGATATTTCACAATGATTCAATTAATTTTAAAAAATTAACTCTTTTTGGACTTTTCACTCTACGAACTTATGTTTTTATGAATTTATATATAATTTGATCATTTATGTAATTTAATTTGATTTAGTACTAATGAACTAACTTTTATTATTGTAGTTTGCTGATTTGTTTTATTATGGAGTTGAAATATTTGTGTTAAGAGTATTATTTAATGCATACATGTAATTAATAGTTTTTTTTAATGTTATTTTTTTTATTAAAGGTAAACTTTTACAATTTTTTTAATATTATGTTATTAATATAATTTTTTTAAAGTGAGTTCAATTTTTGTCTTTGTTAGATAATACTTAAGTACATCTTTAAGTACTCATAGAACTTTGAGGTCTGCATTGGTCCTACTAAGCTTTTGGAGTCTATTTTGCCTAAACTTTTTATAAGAAAAAAAAATCAAGTTCATCGGTAGGAGGCTTCACGAGTCTATGCACACCCGAGTTTAACAACCTTGAATTTACCCATCGTTGTTTGACTAATGAAAATAATTGAATTTAATTTCCATACACTATTAATATAGAACATGTTTAACAACTATCGAAAGGGAATAGTTTTTTTTATTTATTTTTTATTATTATTATTTTTTATATAAATTTGTATGTTGCATGTAAAAGAAGAAATGAAATTGACTTTACATGATATTTTATTCACATTCTAATTTGCTCAATGCATAGGGAAGAAGAATATAAACTTGTGCTTTACATATATTTTAAGGGAGTTGCAATCATATTCTTGGAGAGGTTTCAATATATTTTTGTGGACCAATAAAAAAATTTAAAAATGTCAATTTAATTATAGAATAAGTAATCTAAATTATATTATATAATAAAAACGTAATATAAAGTTATAGAGATTAAAACTATAAGATTGCAAGGATGCTATAAAAACATTAAAACTAAGAAAATAAATAACAAATAATAAAAGTGAAAAACTAATTTACACTATAGAAACTCACAAATTTAAGATGAAAAGAAAAAAATATGCTAAAATTTTTTAAAACTAAGCTTTTTTAGTATATAATGATATTATTACGAAGAAAACTAGACATTATATAATAGAAATAGAATGACTAAATAATTTAGAAAGAAAATAGAAGGATAAAATGCCTAAGAAAATATATAAATAATTAAAAAATATAAATAAATTATTTAAAATAAGAGATTTAAAATGAAACTGTACCGGTATACCTCAATTAAGAAGGGTATCATAAAATTTTCCACATTTTAATTGTTGTTTGGCTCTTTGATAGGCATTTGGTGCTATTTTACTCTTTGATATACTTTTAAAATAAAATAATTTTATGATTAAAAATACAATAATAATAATAAATTAATTAATTAACTAATGCTAACATAAAGAATATTTATTTTTTAAAATAAAATTATGATTTAAAAATTAACTTTCATTTCTATTTTTCTTTTACTAAATAACATTTTTATTCTATTTTTTAATTTTTTTTCTCTTCATTTCCTTTCTCTTTACCGAATAAAGTACAAATGCTTATTATACGCATTTCACACACTATTCTTAAATTCAACTAAAATAAATTCTCTCACAACCACTTTATATGTACACTTATTTTAAGTATATGATCCTTGCCTTTTATCTTTATTTTTAAATTAATTTTCAGTATTTTTTAAGAAATTACTATCGTTAAAGATAATATCATATCAAATTTTTTTTATTTATTATAAATCTAAAATCTAATTTATATATTTAAATTTACTCATGTTTTTATTTTAATTATAATATATAATATACAAATTCATACGAGAGGGGTTAAGTTAGTCTTTCTTTCTGTTTTTTTTAGCTTTCGTTAGTTTACCAAAAAAAAAATTACACTAGTTAAATTTTGTACATGTTATCTAAAATTTAGATATTTACACATTTTAAATATCATACTATACTTTAAAATAAAATAATATGATGAATTATTAATGATTTTAGAATCATGTGAAATTTGATATATTTGATCTTAACTATTATATCACATAATTTAACAATTAAATTGAATAACTTTATATTATAAAAAATCATTGAAAATATAAGATTTAAGTGATACTTACACATATTTTATACGTCATATTATATGTTTAAATAAAATAATGTAATGAACTAGTAATTGATTTTGCAATTATGTGAAATTTGATATATACGATCTTAACTATTATATCACAAAATTAAATAGTGAGATTGATTAAATTTATATTATACAAAAAAAAATATTGAAAGTATAAGATTTAGTGAATATTTAAACATATTTTAAATATTATATCATATGTTAAAATAAAATATTGTGATGAACTAATAATAAATAATTTCTAAATCATGTGAAATTTGATATACATAATCTTAAATATAATAGTACACAATTTAATGGTTAGATTGGTTAAATATATATTATATAAAAAATATTGAAAGTATACGATTTGATAGATATTTACACATTTTAAATGTCATATTATCATTAAAATGAAAAATTGTGATGAACTAGTAAATAATTTTCAAATCATGTAAAATTTGATATAGATGATCTTAATTATAATATCAAATAATTTAATGATTAGATTAATTAAATTTATATTATACAAAATAATATTAAAAGTATAAGATTTAATATAAATTAAAGTTACATTTTGTGCCAAAAAAATCCCGACTCGTATATATATAGGTTTTTTTTTATAGTATTTGACCTTGTAGGATTATTGAAAATTGACATTTGAAATAATAAAAACTAAATAAATAATTGATAATTGTAACGGACAGTGGATACTTTTCCATAGATAATTCATGATTTTATCTTATCCTCGTTTACTCATACCATATTCTTCTTTTTTATTTTTATTTTGAGAAATCAATTTAATTTTATTAATGTACAAAAGACACTTCATGTCTGTATGAATTATTTAAAAAATCAAAATAATAAAAATACACGTAATTATTGAGTGAAATTTACAAGAAAGAGTAAAAATATTATAACTTATTAGTGGAATTGAGATTTTTCTTGTTAAATCATTTGCTCCTCAAACTTTTAAGTTCTCAAGTTTAAATTTTGTGTTTGTAAGGATAAATAATTTTTAATTTTATTTTTATCATTTAAAAATTTAAGGATAAAATTATCTGAAAAAATACGTATATCAAATCATCATCTTTATATATGTTATAGATTAAGTTATGATTATATTAATTTCTATATATATTTTTTTTTACAAATTCAATCCTCAAGTTCAAAGAAATATTATATTTGATTAAAAACGAAAGAAATATTACATTAGCATAAATAATAAGAATTTTCAGAAAAAAACAAGGGAGAAACAAAACTTCGAATATAAATAGAAGAATGGTCATTATCAAAAAATCTTAAATCATCTTCAAGACACACCAACAAAGCTTAATGTATAATAGGATTCATTGATTCGATAATTTTTTTAATTCTTTTTTTTTTCCTATTTCCTTTTCATCAATCATCAATGACAAATAGGAAATGAGAATACGCTAGGTCAGGTCAAACTTTAAATATATAAATTATGTATGTTCTGTAAAATTTAAGTTTAAGTCTGACCTATTATCTATCATAATTTTTTTTATAAGTCTAATCTGATCTTTTCAAAGCCTGTCATGACCTATTAGATTATTTAAACTATTACTGTTAATTAGGTCAATAAACTTAATTTTAAAAATCAATAAAATTATTTTTTAAATATAATTTACTCAGTATTATTAAAATTTAAATCTTAAGAGAAATATAGGAAAAAATTGAATCATTCTTTATTGAAGGGACAATTCATGTGTTAACATGTATGTTGATGTACACTCATATATAGGTCATAAACTTATAAACTTACAATGAAAAAAATAATTGTACAAAAATATTTTAAATATTGATAATTTATTTTTTTTATAAATTTATTTGTTTATTTATATTTTTAATAATATATATTAAATTTTTTATTATATTATATAAATAAATAAGTTGACCTATCAAACCTAATTAACTTCTCTATAAGTCTAAGCCTAACCTTTTTATATAAATAAACATTTTTAAAAGGTTAAACTTGATCTTTTTATCAAATAAGTTAGGCCAAACCAGACTTTAAAGATGTCAGGTAATAGAACCCTATTTAAGGCCTGACCTATTTCAATCCCTAATATCAAACGAGCCTTTGGTGACACTGGTAGTGAAAGAGAAAGGATGGTAAGTGAAGAATTGTACTAGTGTTACATATGAGATGATTATACGATGTTGTATGTAACCACCCACTATAGTCGTCACACTACGGAACAATACAACTAAACAACTAGAAATGTATACTAAAATAGTATAACATGAATATAATATATATATATATATATATATATATACACACACACACACACACACACCACTATGGACCAAAGGTGGCCTAACATGCCACACAATATATACAACGGTCTACAAAATAAACTCTATCATTCGAGGTAGTCAACAAAATATAACTCTCTAGCTCCTACCACCAAGTGGCCTCCATCAGCTAACACCAGTCTATCCCTGCCCTGCTTCCATATATCATATGATCATCACAGTCCAAACTATATGGAAACATGGAAGGGTAAGCTAGTGATAATAAATAACACATATATAGAAAAATAACTTAACATCACTATCATCATCATCATCAACTAGTTCAACATACAACACACAACACATAAACAACATATATATCAACAACACCTTCACAACACATCAACACATACAACT